ACGGGGTAATGAGGTCTATGGTTTGGCGCCCATACCGGACGGGGTATGGGGACGGCCCTGGAATATGATTTCAAGTGTTAAGGGTTAACGGGTAGCGGGACCCCTATGGATCCCCATGGATACTAGTGGACTGGTAAATAAAGAAAAATATGTTGTGTAACGATTGAATTACGAAAAGCTTGATAGGTATTATGTTATACAATTTATATATATATGGTTTTCATGATGATGATGATGTTATTGCTTTCGTATATTGTTTTATAAATTTCACCGAGGTAGGTGAATGGTAAAAGTTTTGTTATCGATAAAAGGATTTGTTGTAAATTATACTCCATTGGTCTTTTTGTGTTTTCTACCCACCTTTACCTCCGTGACGGTGAGATATCGTGATGTCTTTACTGGGCTAGTGTAGCTCATTCCTTATTTAATCATTTCAGATCACGAGGACATCGGTTCCCGAGCCGGTTCCGCAGGAGGACGACGAGGGGGACGCCTAAAGACTCCATAGTCACATTCGTAGTTTTTACTTTCAAGTTTCTCTTTTAAGTAGTTTGATCTTTTATATTTTGTGAGCACGTTTTTGGTTTTAGTGTAAGGGATGTTATTCAAATTTTGATTTCGCTTCCGCATTTGATATTTTTAATATACATTTCATTATGAATTTCCGGGGCTGTTACATGGTATCTTGATTCTGCACCAGACTTGTAATATCTTTTTTTTTACCTCATAGATGTTAGGAATGTTGCATTGTGTAGTGAACAATAACTGCATAAAATATGTTACATTTGATGTCGACTGACAATTTATTTTATATATATGTAATGGCTTTGTCATTACGTCGTAACCAATATGCTATAAGTAGATTTTCTATATCTATAAGTTCCTTCAAGCTTTCGTTAATAAGCCTCAGTTTGGTTTTTATTCTCAAGGCACACTTCATCAACTATGTAATACCCCGGCCCAGAATTTGACCCGAGATTAATTTTAACATTCTAAAAATGTATATGAATCTATTTTTGAAATTAATAAATTTTAATTTAATGTGAAATTATGGAAAAAAATAGGTTGAGGATAAAATTAAAAATAATTTTGGAAAAAATAGATGAAAATTTGGGTTTGAATGGTGTTTTTAAAAGAAAAATCAAAAATTATGGATCAGAACGCAATTAAGAAAATTTTTGCCACGTAGGACCGCCCAGTCAATAATCTCTACGAACTGGAGCGCCCCGCGTGGAAAGGCATGCTGACTCGGTGCCACGCTGGAGGCCACACTAGCGATATGCGTGCCCTGCGATCAGACGACCCAGAAGTATTCTTGCCCGCGTGGACGGTTCAGATCCGTTCCCTCATCAAGTGCAATCGGACGGTCATGATCAAACGCGATGAACTGTTTAGATTCGTTCTCTCTTTAAATGCGATCGAATAGTCGAGATCAAATCGCGATGAACAGTTTACATTTATTTTTTCTTTAAACGCAATCAGACCGTCGAGATCAAACGCAATGAACGACCCAGATTAATGCGAGACGAGTATAAATATTTCGCATCACACTAAATTCAAATCCTAGCCGCCAGCTTCCCGTCAGAGAAGAAGAACCAGTCGTCGGAGAAGATAGCCGACCACTGCTGCATTTGAGCCACATCCGATCACCAAAAAAGATAAAAAAATTTCTATCCGCTTGGAATTTGATTCTGAGCACCCCTATGGCCAAATCGGAGCAAAAAGAACGGTAGGTGAGCTGGAAACTGTGTGCAAAGCCTAACAACGCCACCACGAGTAAAACCCACAACCTCATCCGATGAGCCCCTTCCCATTTTTTGTTTTGTGCGATTTTTCTACCGTTGTATTCACCGTTTTATTTTCTACATGTTGATCGAAAAAAATTCACAACTGCGAAGGTGAGCCAGCAGAGTCGGCCCACCCGAAAATCTCCACTGCTGATAGGTTTTCGTTTTTTGGTTTTTTGGCCAACTGGGGCCCCGTAATAAATTTTTTTCATAGGGATATATATAAAACCGATCGAAACTGGCCAAAACTGGTCGAAACCAGCTAGACCCGGTCGAAAACAGTTAGGCTGAGGCAAACCGCCACCACGGACGATGGTGTCGTCACCAGAGCACGGCGCTACCGTCGTGTCGGAACTCCAAAATTGCCCTGAAAGGGTTTTTTACCGATTTTGAATTCTTAGAGTATTTTTAGGAACATGAAACATGTTTTAATCTCTGCAGAAAAATTCAAAAAACTCGGGGACCACTAGTAGGCGCAGTAGAAAGTTCGGTATTTCGAATACCGATTCGGGTAAAAATCTCTCACCTTATTCTCTATTATGGAATTGAAGCTTAATAATTGATAATATGGTATTCTGTGTATTTAAAATTTTTTGAGAATAATTACAGATTACTAATAGATGCGGAACCGGTTAGTTGTTTATTTGTTTGTCCTGTGTAACTGATTGTTTGCTTTTACAGCTTTAAATACATGAGAATAAACTTGAATAGTTAAATGATTCAGTTATACTTCTTTGATGTATATTTATTAATTATCTTGCATGATTTACGATTAATTTATGAAATTAAAAATTAATATCCAAATGAAAAATTGATTGGTTATGTGAATTAATGAATGATTGTCTTACTGGATATCTTAGGATATGGTGGACGGACCGAGTACATAGAGAATCATACTGTAAATATTACTAACATACCGGACAGGGTATCAAAAAAGTGTATTTTTGGCGCTCATACCGGACAGGATATAGGGACGGCTTGATTCACCCTTATACCAGACCGGGTATTTAGGGATGATATTTTTGACACTCATACCGGACGGGATATAGGGACGACCGATTAGTTGACAATGTTGGATATTGGTTTATGCGTAGTAGGACATCCCTATGGATCTCCATGGATACCAGTAGGCAAATAAAATAGAAAGTTGTTGTTATTACCCACTTGAATATGATATTAGAATGTTATTTGAGTTATTGTCTCTATAGGTCGATTTTGAAAATCTCACAATGGTAAATATATGTAATAAATAGTTTTCCTTATGATAAATAAATTTACTTAAATCAAGAATTCCATTAGTTATTTTTATGATTTTTACCAACATTCAGTTTCGTGATATTCTTACTAGACTAGTGTATCTCACTTTTTCATTAACTATTCCAGATCAAGAGGACCAAGATCCAGATTCCGATCAACAAGAGCATTGTGAATAGTTCACCACCCGAACTCCCTTCAAAAGTTAGTGAAAGTCGTCCTAAAATGCTCAGTTATTTGCCTTTTGTTTATTTCTTTAATTTTCATTTGTTCTTTTACAAGAGAAATTTTCGTAACTCTATTGGGTATTCTAAATTATTGTGTAAAGAATGTAAACTCTAAACTTTATTATTTCACTTCCGCATTTAATTTATGATTTTATTCTCTTTTAAGTTCCAGATCTTTACAAACTTGCTTAAGTGTGATAGTTGTTTGAATTTAAGAGCTGCATTACAAGTAACACACTTGAGTTCTTGCTTGCTTCGATATAATATGAATTGTTTGGATGAGAATGACTAAAAAGGTTTGTGCTTGATGAAGTTGGATCTTGATGGAAAGCTGAGCTTGCATTTGGTTGGAGCTTTCATCTCTATGCCTACTCTGCTATAATGAAAGGTTTTGCTAAAATGGAGAAAACAAAAAGCATATCTAGATTGATTTAAAGAAGGCAAAAGACGAAGCAAGGTAGAAAAGAGAAATGACAACTTTGAAAAACCTTAATAGGGTTTTGCTTCCTTTGGGTCGAAAAAAATTATATTATTGATGAATAAACAAGCCTTATATATATGTGAAGTTAAAAAAGTAAATGTACGCTGTAAACACACATCAACATTTTCTCTATACCGTAACATGTCATGCGCACATGTACACATATACAATCCGCACGTAGTCCTTGCAGGAATCCGAAGGCAATTCAATCTGCACTCGCGGATAACCCTATATTTTGACACAATCAATACAAATTAGAAGACAAAAGTCAAGTGGACAAATGAATTTAAGTGAATGATAAGGACGTACTTTAGCCTCTTAATTATTATTAACTATATATTGCATATTATTAATTATATAATGACTAAGTTGGGAATGACAATGCATATTGGTGCAAGAAATTAAAAAAATTTACATAAGACGTGTTTGGTAGGAGATCTAAAACAAATTAGACGTGCCATCAACATTAATTTCTTATACTAATCAATTAATTTTCTTTCTTTTTTTATTTTATTTTTCTAAATTAAAGATTAAGGTGTCCTATTTTTTTGGTACTCTATTCCTAATCCTTCAACTTTCCAAAAATTTAATATAATGATTTTAATTAATAACTTAAAAGTGAAATATATATATTTACATGATGCATTTAATCCATCTACTAAAATTTAGAGCAAGAACAGGTGAAGATTTGGAGCCAATTGAATTCACCAACTTTAGACTTCTGCCATCTAAAATTAAACAATTAGAAAAATATTTTATTATTATAAAATTTTATATAGAATGATATTTGAATCAAAATTATAATTTTTTTTTAAAAACTGACGTTAAAATGTAAATTTTTTTTTTCTATTTCCAATTTTCTTCCTACTTTAATATACAATTAAGGAGTGGATATATATATATATATATATATTAAATATTATGAAGATGGTAACTTTATCTGTTTCCGAATTTACAGACAGTAACAGTTTTGAAATTCAAGTATAAATCTTTAATCAATTAATGAACTTTATTGATAAAAAGTTAATTTTCGTAAATTTCACCTATTTTTTTCCAAAAAAAGATATTTTGATTTCATAGGATTTTTTTAGTTTATCCTAAGGGACACGTGGTTGAGAAAGAAGGCGAGTAGGATTTTCTTGAGAGCAGTCAAGAAAAGAGGAAAGCTTTAAAAATTCCATCTTTATATATATATGGATTGTTGATTAATGGCTGCTAGTAATAAATACAGAGAGGACTAAAGACGCAAAGGAGATACATGTGCTGCTTATTGTTCTCGGCTCTGTCTGGGTGTCCTCGTCTGCTGGAAATTATTATTTTAACAAAAAGTTGAAGTTTAAAAACGAAAGCTTTCTGAAAAAAAAAAGAAAAAGAAAACAAAAATCAGAAACGTTACACAACAGAACTCAACGTGGGTGTGGTAAATTCAGATTTGTGAACAATTTCCAACCAATCGGTGGAGGCAAGCAGCAGCCTGAAAAGTCGGTGTACAAAACTAGGACTGCGCCACGTACAACCATGTAAAGCAGGAGGGTGAACTGGAGGAATTGTTGAAAAGTTACTTTTTACTGTGATATGGTGGGATTAGAGTTTGGAAAAGGATCGTGGCGTTACTAATTTATATATATATATATGCACATATTACTGCCACTGCTCTTTTGAGCGGTTTCTCTTTTTCTTGGCTCTTGCGGATTTGCTGTGTTTGCTGTTGGGTTGTCCTTGTTTTGGTCTCAGGCTACCAACTTTTGTGCTCAAAATCTTGTCTTTCTATCTGGGTAGTGGTTAATTTTATCTTTCTTCTTCTGGGTTTTCATGATTATTCTTCTTCTGGTTTGTTTCTGTAATGCGCTTTGATCTCTGATGGTGTTTTTTTTGTTCTTAGTGAGAAGAAGTTGAAGTTGTGAGGAGCAGGTTGAGAGAAAGATGGGGGATAAGAGTGAAGTTTTGGAGGCTGTGTTGAAGGAAACTGTGGATTTGGTAGTAGATCTGACAAATTCAGAAGCTTTTTTTTGTTTTTTTTCTTCTTTGTTCTTCTCTCTTGTTCTGTGACTATGTGTTAGTGTTTGTGTTGTTGTTGATTTACTTCTGCTTGTTCTTGTCGGTGTTGAGAATTCTACATTTTTGGTTGAGTGCAGGAAAACATACCAATTGAAGAAGTGTTTGAGAATCTTAGATGTAGCCGGGAAGGTCTCACTACTGAGGCTGCAGAGGAGAGGCTCGCCATTTTTGGCCACAACAAGCTTGAAGAGAAAAAAGTGCTGTCTTTTTATCTTTCCCTCTTTACTCTTTAAAAAATCCTTTCTGGTCTTGTTAATCCAGATTTCTGTTCTTGTTTACTTCCCTTTACTTGCTCAAAGTTTGTCATCTGGGTGTTTCTCAGGAGAGTAAATTCTTGAAGTTTTTGGGCTTTATGTGGAATCCTCTCTCATGGGTCATGGAAGCTGCTGCAATCATGGCAATTGCTCTTGCAAATGGAGGAGTGGGTGCTTCAGCTTTTTGAGTCCTATCAATTTTCTTTGATACGTTATTTTTTGTTAACTTCTTCAATTTCTCTATCTTCTGCAGGGAAAGCCTCCAGATTGGCAAGATTTTGTTGGTATCATCACTCTGCTTCTTATCAACTCCACCATTAGTTTCATAGAGGAGAACAACGCAGGTAACGCTGCAGCTGCTCTCATGGCTCGTCTTGCACCTAAAGCGAAGGTATCAGATTCAATCAACTTATTCTCTGTTAACAGTTCCATAATCTTCAATCTTAGTGTTGTATTTTTGATGAAAAACAGTCAGTGTTATATTCATTAGCTATCCTTTTATGCTTTTTAGTGTGTGAGATGGGTTTCTTTTCCTTTTTTGGCAGTATATCTATTTACTTTTTTTTTGTTTTGTTGGATTCTCTTATTTATGATGAAAATTACTGTAAAGGTTCTACGAGATGGAAGGTGGAATGAGCAAGATTCTGCCGTTTTAGTTCCTGGGGACATAATAAGTATCAAATTGGGAGATATTATACCAGCTGATGCTCGTCTTCTCGAGGGTGATCCTCTTAAAATTGACCAGGTTGATTTTCTGTATCCATTTTTTTAATTATTTATTGACTTGAATTAATCTCATTGGGGTTAATTCATGGAGTGGATACGAGATTACTAGTATTTTTTACCAGCTGTCAATTAGTCTTTCTTATTCTTTTAAAAAGAAAACAAAAATTAGAAAGTTCCTTTTTGCAGTCTGCTCTTACTGGCGAGTCTCTTCCAGTAACAAAAGGGCCTGGAGATGGTGTGTATTCTGGTTCTACTTGCAAGCAGGGAGAGATTGAAGCTGTGGTTATTGCCACCGGTGTCCACACCTTCTTCGGAAAGGCTGCTCACCTTGTTGATACCACTAACCAAGTTGGCCACTTCCAAAAGGCAAGGACTTGGCGTGGAACATATTTATGAGGTTCTTGTGGTGTGTATTTATTGATCCTGATTTCCGTTACTTCATTCCCATATATATGTAGGTCTTAACTGCAATAGGAAATTTCTGCATTTGTTCGATTGCCATGGGAATGATAATAGAAATCATTGTTATGTATCCCATTCAAGATCGGGATTATCGCCCTGGAATTGACAACCTTCTCGTGCTTCTCATTGGTGGAATTCCAATTGCCATGCCCACAGTCTTGTCAGTGACTATGGCTATTGGTTCCCATAGGTTATCTCAGCAGGTTGGCAACATTCCCTGGGAATGTTTCAATTGACTGTTCATATGAGGTTTTCTAGTTACATGATGGAATGAATATGTGGGCAATGATTGCAGGGTGCTATCACAAAGAGAATGACTGCTATTGAAGAAATGGCAGGCATGGATGTGCTCTGCAGTGACAAGACTGGAACTCTGACATTGAACAAACTTACTGTTGATAAAAATCTTGTTGAGGTCAGCTAATTTTCTTGTGTGCATGTTATAGGTAGAATTCTCAAAGCAATAAAAGGTTGAGGTCTCAATCTGAACCTTCTTGGATTCTTAGGTCTTTGCTAAAGGAGTCGATGCAGATACTGTTGTTTTGATGGCGGCTCGAGCATCCAGACTGGAAAACCAAGATGCAATAGATACTGCTATTGTGGGGATGCTGGCAGATCCTAAAGAGGTACTTGGTTTTTATCATACCTTCCTTCTCGAATACATCTATCTATTTATTTGTATAACAGCTTCATTGTTGATCTGATCTGTTTCATTTTGTTCCCTTGTTGCATCCGAAAAGGCACGTGCTGGCATTCAGGAGGTGCACTTCCTTCCTTTCAATCCTACTGATAAGAGAACAGCTTTGACATACATTGACCGTGATGGTAAAATGCACAGAGTCAGCAAAGGTGCACCTGAGCAGGTAACTACACTTTATTTTTATTCATAACTTTTGCTTAATTAATTTGTATGTCACTCTAATTCCTCTCTGCAATACGAATTTTAGATTCTCAATCTTGCACACAATAAATCAGACATCGAGCGAAGAGTTCATGCTGTGATTGATAAGTTTGCAGAGCGAGGTCTGCGATCCCTTGCTGTAGCATACCAGGTATTGGAAGTCTGTCTTCTCTGATACTGCAATAAATTTAAAAGCTTTGTTTTCCCCTTCCAGATGTGAACCGATAAGTGCACCACTTAGTTATAACTGTTATTTTTTATCTGTCATTTCAATTGACACAGGAAGTTCCTGAAGGAAGGAAGGAGAGTCCTGGTGGCCCTTGGCAGTTCATTGGGCTCTTGCCTCTTTTTGATCCGCCTAGGCATGACAGTGCAGAGACAATAAGGAGGGCTTTGAACCTTGGAGTAAATGTTAAAATGATTACAGGTGGGTCTACTTTGAAATTGGAAGCTATTCTTAGGCTTGCAATGTAGTGATTGAACCATTATTGCATCTCCATTGAGAAAACTAAACTGCATTAACTAACTATGAATCATGGATATGGTGCGCCATTCAGGTACTCAGATGGGACAAGGTGTCCCATAGGACATTGGATGTGCAAAGAGGTAGATACTTCTAATAGGATTGATATATGCGGGCATGTATTCACGGTTGAACATAGGCAGCTAGAGATAGGTTGCATCGGTAGGGGGGAAGGGCTCTGATTCTAATGCCCTATTAACAAAGCTGTTTCCATTAATTGTACTTTTATTGTTGTTGATTTGTACATATGCACCCAGTCAAAAACAGTCTCTCATGGAGTTCATGTTTTGAGGCACAATATATCACAGGTCGAAGGGATAGTGAATTTGTATTAATTGCCGAGATACTTCCTGTTCTACCACTTTTTCGGAAGGGAATTGCTACATATTTGTTTATTTATACTGATTTGCATATTAATTTCTCTGCATTAATATCTTTCATTATGTTATTATGATGGATGATCATCATCATTTCATTATTTTATTTATTAAATTTTCAACCTTTTAGTTCTTCTAGCATCTGTTGCTGTTACTGACTGCTGTTTCATTTACCAGGGGATCAACTGGCAATAGGAAAAGAAACTGGACGTCGCCTGGGAATGGGAACCAATATGTATCCTTCATCTGCTTTGCTTGGACAGGACAAGGATGAGTCAATTGCTGCTTTACCCGTTGATGAACTGATAGAGAAGGCTGATGGCTTTGCGGGTGTTTTCCCTGGTAAATTGTCTTGCTCCTCTTAATTGGTTTTGTTTTTTCAGTTAATCTAGCTTCAGTGGATGTAGGTTTTTACTTGTCCTTCTACAATACCTAAGTATGGAGGAAACCTACTTATTTGTTATATTGATTTGCTTGGTTTATTGTTTTAGAGCACAAATATGAGATAGTAAAACGGTTGCAAGCTAGGAAACATATTTGTGGAATGACTGGTGATGGTGTCAACGATGCTCCTGCTCTTAAGAAGGCTGACATTGGCATAGCTGTTGCTGATGCAACTGATGCTGCCCGTAGTGCTTCTGATATTGTCCTGACTGAACCTGGTCTGAGTGTCATCATTAGCGCTGTATTGACCAGTCGAGCTATCTTCCAAAGGATGAAAAACTACACGGTAATGCATTATTTCTCATGATAGTGCTGAACCCAAAAGTGTTAATGTTTTCTTCTTATGAATTTAACGAATATTGAGAATTGTGTTGAGTAGCCCTTGAATCCTTCTCATCCTACTTTTCCTGCCAATTGTTAGTTTTCTTATTTTAGTGTTTTCCTTCGACAGATCTATGCAGTTTCCATAACAATCCGTATTGTGGTATGTTTGATTTTTCCTTTTTCAATCTTTTCCTTTCTTGTTATTCTCAGAAAAGGTTGAGAGCCTGTGGGGAAGACTGATATTATGATCACTAGTTATGAACCCTTGGTTTTCACTTATTATTTGAAATGCATTTTTTTTTTCGAAGATTTGATGCTTTTGCTTGCTTGACATGGTAACAGCTCGGGTTCATGCTGCTGGCCCTTATATGGAAATTTGACTTTCCACCATTTATGGTGCTTATTATTGCCATACTCAATGATGGTAAGTTCTTCTTTCAAGTGCAAAATCATAAGTGAGGTATAGGTTACAGCAGGAATATAATGTTGGGGCATAAATATTTTTTCCTATTTTATCCTGGAATTTACTTGGTTATTCTCCATATGAAATTTCAGGTACCATTATGACGATATCAAAGGATAGGGTGAAACCTTCTCCTCTGCCAGACAGCTGGAAGCTGGCTGAGATTTTTACCACCGGTATCATTCTTGGTAGCTATCTGGCGATGATGACAGTTATATTCTTCTGGGCAGCGTATAAAACAGATTTCTTTCCGGTAAGATGGTCTACTTTCTTTCTTTTTTCTATTTAAAAAAAGAAGATGATCAACCTTCTTTTGTTCAGTGATTAAGTTCTTCGTGAAAAAATTGGAAGATATGCTTCTGTATCAGCAGTTCTAGATAAAATTTGTGTTTTATCTTGAATGAGAGGGCCTGCGGTAATCTTATTTCTCTATTTATATGCCAGAGAATCTTTGGAGTATCGACCCTTGAGAAAACTGCTCATGATGATTACCGAAAGCTTGCCTCAGCAGTATACCTGCAAGTTAGCATTATCAGTCAAGCCCTCATCTTTGTGACACGATCCCGGAGTTGGTCTTATGTTGAGCGTCCTGGGCTATTACTTGTTGCAGCTTTTGTGATTGCTCAACTGGTGAGCCAAGGAGTTGCTGTATTCAAATTGGATTCATTATATGGTTGGAGAAATTCAGCGTGCTAATTATTTTTTTTTTATCTTTTGCTGAGCAGATTGCCACTCTGATTGCTGTATATGCAAATTGGAGCTTTGCTGCAATTGAAGGGATTGGATGGGGTTGGGCTGGAGTCATTTGGTTGTATAACGTTGTATTTTACATCCCGCTCGACTTCATTAAGTTCTTCATACGCTATGCTTTAAGTGGGAGGGCGTGGGATCTTGTTATCGAACAGAGGGTACGTATCACCCATGCTTTTTCTATTTTGTTGTGGCTACATTCAGCGGGATCTTTAATTTGGTGAAATTGTTATGATGGATTTCTTTGTAATGTAGATTGCCTTCACAAGGCAAAAAGATTTCGGAAAGGAACAGCGTGAGCTTCAATGGGCACATGCACAAAGAACGTTGCATGGGTTGCAACCACCTGACACCAAGATGTTCACAGAGCGAACCCATTTCACAGAGCTAAATCAGATGGCTGAGGAAGCCAAGAGGAGAGCTGAAATTGCAAGGTAACAATCTATTTGGGTCTGGATATTTTGTTATAGCGATTCCATCTTATGATTCTTTACTTTTTATGCCTCGTTTTAGGTTTTAATTTGTATTGTGTTCATTGCATCTTGCAGGTTGAGAGAACTCCATACGCTGAAAGGTCATGTCGAATCGGTTGTTAGATTGAAGGGCCTGGACATAGACACAATTCAACAAGCATACACAGTCTGAAGATGGTCTCATATTAGAAGAGATATTTTATTGGTGGTGAGAGTATAAGGCATTGAATCAAATATTTTGTTGTGAGTTAGAATTAGAGCATAGCTGTTAAATTGTGCTACTCTGTTTCCTTTTTTCTCCAGTTTTCATTTCTCAGAGGGCTGTGATTAGCTTTTAAATTCGTTATCATCCTCCATCCTCCAATCGCCCAAAAATTCCCACCCGATTCCCGCAACGGCAAAAGATTATTGTTAGAGGGGATTTCATGTTTATATTAGTAGAAGGAAGATGGGCTGTTAAGTCTTGTTGTATTAAGAAGGAAGGCATGTTTGCTAGGTGATTTACCCTAAACCTAATTTCAGTTGAAGTTGAGTAATAAGAACTCAAAAACATTTGATACTTAACGGGGTGTTAAAAGCTGTGTCTAGCTTTTTGTACTACTTATTTCAAGTGTTTTGTTACAAGAACTTCTCTCTAGTTAGTGTTTCTATTTGTTACTGACTTACTACAAATTACTTTAAATTTTGTTGAAAAATTTATTGAGTATATAGAGTTTCGTAATTTTATTGGTGTATTATGAGTTAAAGATAATCCATCTATAATTCTTATTTTAGTAGAATCAAAGATTTAATTTATTAATATTTTAATAGAATTATAGTAATTAAATTGAATTTATTTTTTAAAAAATTTATTACGTTTTTGAGCGAACGATAGATTTCGGGATAAATAATTTTTTTTCATTCATTCGAGTTATCATTCCGGGTTAAAATTCGAATTAACTTTATCTAACAAATAGAGGCTGATTAATTAGTCACCTAAATTCAAGGGGTGACTAAATTACTCTATTTATTCAATAACAATAATAATAATAATAATAATAATAATACACTTTAATTTTTTTCTCAAAATTTATTTAAAATAAAAGTAAAAATTTAAACCAAATAAAATTATGGTACTGCACAAAATATTTTCTCTTTTATTTTATTTTATTTTCAAATAGTTATATTTTTATTCTCTTTCTAATGATTATATATAAACTCAGTCTCTTTATTTAGAAAGACAATAAGCTTATAATTTTAAAAATTAGTTATATAATTTATAAATTAGAGTTAGTTAAAAATTAAATTTATTTTTATATTTAAAATTTTAAACATTATGTAAATTATCAAAATTATTTTTATGCTTAAAAATTAATCAATTAAAAACTAGAATAATTATTGTATGTATTATCATATTAATTTTATTCTTATAATTTAAAATTTGAATGGATAATATTTAAAATTTTATCTTTATATAATATATATACTCATAATTATCACATTAATTTCACTTTTATATTTTAAAATTTAAATTTTATTTTTAAATCATATATAATTATAATTAATATTAATATATTCTTTTTATTTTCATTTATAAAAAAATAATAAAGTTATTCTATAAGTCGTTATATATGTATGTATATATATATATATATATATATATATATATAAAATATAGTTGATTAGATAAATATAAATTTTTGACCAGTTAGGTTTTAAGTGAGGCAATAATGTAATCATATTTTTTTTAAAGAGTAATTATTTCCTACATCTTTTGAAAAATGATTTAATAAATTAGCCATCATACTTAGAAGATTTAATCAATTAGAAAATGCCACAAATCATGTAATTTTTACTCCATTGTAAAAGCATGTAAATATCAATAAATTATAAATAATATGTTATGATTAAACTTTGAATCAGTAAGTATAAATTCTTTTGAAAAGAATAAATAAATTAATGAATTTTAAATTTACATTAACTATATTAATGTTAAACTTTGATTCTCCTTTTATTTCTTTTAACCTAAATATACATGAGTGAAAAAACATAATAATAATAAAAAAAAAGAAGAGTTTTACATGAGTGAAGCCCTAAAGGGAGAATCTCAATTTTGAATACATTAAGCTTAAAAACTTAAAAGGTGGTAGGTAACAACATGGTATATATGTGTGCTTGGTTAAGTTGCTTTAGAAAAAGCTAGTGAGAAAATGAAAAAAACAAGGAAAGAAGTCTTACTAAAATGAGAATTAGCCAAAAGAGGAAATTGCTTAAGTTGTTTGGGAGCCTCTTTAAGCAATCTATACCCATCTAAAGATCTACACAAGGATCTCTTTATCTCTTTAGGAAAATGAACTTTTAACTCTATTAAGAATTGTTACGTATTCATAGAATTAACATATATTCCACGAACAAACATAATTTTTCAAGATCAATGTGTATAGCAATACATATTGTAAAGGTTCAGAACCTTAAAGAAAAATATATTCATAAATTTAATGCAGAAGCGATTAATAGAGTTAGAGATAATTTTCAATGGCTAATAGGATTACGAAAATGTCCTTTCTAAAAAACAATCGAAAATTAAAGAAATGAAGCGAAAAATGAATAACTAAACATTCTAGGACAACCTTCACTGACACTTGAAGAGAGTCTGTATAGTGAACTACTCATAATCCTCTTACTGATCGGGATATAAATCTTGATTCTCTTGATATGAAATGGTTAATGAAATGGTGAGTTACACTAACCTAGTAAGAATATCACACTAATCACATATACGAAAAATTGACGATTAGTAAAAATCATAAAATAACTAATGGAGTACTTAATTTGAGTAAATTTATTTAATATAAAGAAGATCGTTTATTTCGTACTTACCGAAACGAGTTTTTCAAAAATAATTTATGAAGACCCATATCCATATCACTTTTTACTTCCATACATAAGAGAACGAGAAACAATAACTTTCCTTTCTTACATGTTTACTGGTATCTCTAGGGTCCATAAGGGTGTTCCCTCTACTCATGAACCCAATATCCAATTTTAACAATTAACTGGTCGTCTCCATACCCCGTCCAATAATGGACACCAAACATTCCATCGCCTAGATACCCTGTCAGGTATGAGGGTAAACCATATTTTTCAAACCTTCCCGGTAAGGGACTTCCCAGCTCCGTCCGACTGAGGTAACGTTCATGGTAGGGTTCCCTATGTACTGGGTCCGTCCTCTCTTTCCTTGGGTGCCCAATAAGTTTTTCACATAAAGATTCTCATAGCAAACAACCAACAAATTTATGCCAATATCTCATATCACATTCACAGATTAATTAAATTACATTCATGCTGACGGTATATAAATAAAATAATAAGATAAGTTGATAAGACTATTGAAATATAAATTAAGGACCTGTGCTATATGGAAATAAAGCAAGTAGGACAGTATAGAAAAATAGATACGAATCAAGACAATTGTAAACTAATCGGTTCCAGTTCCACTAGTAACATGTAATTATTTTTAGGATTTTTTTAATTTTTCACAAAAACACAAAATTATGTGAGGGATCTTTACCCGGATCGATATTTTAAGATGTCGAGCTGTCTACTGCGCCTCCTAACGGGTATTGAGTTCCTTGAATTTTTCTTGTGGAATTCAACAAACTTGTCACATACTTAAAAATACTTCAAAAATACAAAATAAGTGTTCAAAACTCATTTCGGCCAATTCTGGGGTTCTGCCACAGTGGCACCGCTGTGCTTCGGCGTCGACTCTGCCGCCCACGATGGCAGTTCGCCTTGACCTAGCTGGTTTTAGCTGTAACGCCCAAACAATTTGGGCATTTTTTGTTAGTATTAATTTTATTTAGTTTAATTAAAAAAAAAAGAGAGCGCCACGTTAGCGGTCCAGTCAGCAGCCCTGGCCAACCAGGACCTGCCGCGTGGCAAAACCACATCGAGGGAACGGGCCACGTGGGCGATTCGCATGCTTGCGGATTGGATTGCCCAGATGCGTCCCGCGCGCATGGACGGCCCAGATCAAGCGTGCGTACGAACGACCCAGATGCAATCGCACGAACGGCCCAGATGCACACGCACGGACGGCCCAGATTCAATCAAAAACAGACGGCCCAGATTTAATCAAAATGGACGGCTGAGATCAAAAGGAAAAAGGATATAAATAAAACCCCCACACCTGACCACAAAAACCGTAGCCGCCTGCCCTCGCCGAAGAAGACGAACCAGACGCCAGAGGAGCCGGCCGCCGCCACCATCCGCCGCACCGGGGAGTTTTTCGACCGCTGATCGAGGTAAATTTCATACCCCCGACTCGTTTTTCCACGCTGAGTTCCCCTGTGGCCAAATTGGAGCCAAAATCCTGGCCAAATGGCCGAAACCCAGCGGCGCCGCCGCGCCCCTCCTCAGTTTTTGCCTCCAATAAGGCCCTTCCCGGCCTCCGTTTGATGCAATTTTTATATCACCGTGATCACCATTCTTTTCTCTACAGGTTGATCGGAGCCGAATCACCAAAACACGAACCTCGCCGGAGAGCCGCCGCACCCGAGAGCACTGTCGCCGGTAAGCTTCAGTTTTTCGTAATTTTTTGGCCCCCCGAGGGCCCTAGGGTTGTTTTATCACAGGGACCGATGTAAATGTGGCCGAATTCGGCCGGAAACGGCCGAAAACGGCCAACCTGAGGCGAATGGCCGCCGTGCCAGAATTGCGATATTGGTCGAAAGGGGCCCTGGGTCTAATTTGGAATTTTTTGGAACACGTGCAGGTACCAGTAGTGCGTTTCAGTTCCCTGGAAAAAATTCAGGAAAAATTAGGGACAGCCTGTAGGCGTAATGTGAAGCCGTGTTCGGACCCCGAAACGAGTAAAGACCCCTTACCGTATTTTTTATCACGGTATTAAAGTTTAATAATGATAAAACGGTATTTCTTGAATCAACGAATGTGTGAAATTGCTTAAGGTCGCTAATGGAGCCCGAGTATAGTGTGTTTGTTGGTTAACTGTTATTTGGCCTATTTTACAGTTTTAAATGCAGTATGAGGTCTGATGTTTTTATTTCATAGTTTCATGTGCATATTTTACTGTTTTATTGATTATGAGTTGAATGACTGAGTAACCGATGCTGTATGTTGTCTTGTTTGGCATAAATTACTGTTTTGCTTGTTTGTGTGTGAATTGATGATGCTGACTGAGGAAAAAGGGAATGAAAGGTTATGTAAATTGATAATTGTATAATGTGATCAGCCTGACTAGATATCCTTGGAGATGGTGGACGGACTGGGTCCGTAGGGAACCCTACTGGGATTGTGGTCTCTCATACCGGACGGGGTATGGAGACCTTATGTGTTTTGGCGCCCATACCGGACGGAGTATGGGGACGGCTCGTTTCACCCTCATACCGGACGGGGTATTGAGGTTTATAGTTTTAGCGCCCATACCGGACGGGGTATGGGGACGGCCCTGGAATCAGGTTGTAAATGTTAAAGGTTCACGGGTAGCGGGACCCTTATGGATCCCCACGGATACTAGTAAGCTGGTAGAAGAGGAAAAATATGTTGTGTAATGATTGAATTACAAAAGGCGTGATAAGTATTATGTTATACAGTTTATATGATTTCATGATGATGATAATGTTATT